GACCAAGTGTGACCTGCGACATCCTCCAGGCAACGAGATTTACCGCAAGGGCACCATCTCCTTCTTTGAGATCGATGGACGTAAGAACAAGGTCAGTGGCTGAAGGACAGTGGGGAGACTTTGGAGCTGGGGTTCTGGGGGAAGTCAAATGAGCACTTTCTTCCTGCTCAGGAAAACACTGACCAGTCTGGCCAACAGATCAGCTCACCCATTTTTATTGCGTTCTTGCTGTAGAGCAGGTGCTGGGAAGTTTGGACAACCAGGAATTAGACAAAGTCTCTGTTCTCTGAGAGCTCACAGTCCATAGAAAAACCAGACATGCCACCAGCCACTTAGATTCCAGTGTGATAAATGTCATGAAACACAGTGGGTTATTAGGGCCAGAGAAGGTAGTCATCAAGGCTTCACAGAGGTGACTTATGAGCCTTGACATGAACAAGGTGGGCGAGGGAGTTCCAAGCAGTGGGGTCCTGAAGGGCAGGCATGGATGTAGAGAGAGAGTGTGACAGGCAAAGACACTTCTGGCTAAAGGGCAGAGAGGAAGAAGCAAGGCTGTTACAAGGGACAGAGCTCAGGCGGTGGGGGAGGAGTTGGGAGCACCATAGGTTTGGGGCTTTAAACCTGCCTTAGTCTGTGGCTGTGGGAAGGAAGGAAGGAGTAACCTGGAGGGACTGTTGAGAGACTTCCCCCATTCCTGGGGCCTAGAGGGTGGTGGGGGAGAGGCAGGCATCTTGACTGGCAGGGGAGAGCTCTGGCTTGGGTGCTAGGGGAGCTGGAGAGGAAGATGCTGCTTTAACTGCTGGTTCTGTATTATAAGTGGGGACTTGGGCATCCTAATGACAGTGCCCAGCAGGTGGTTAAAAAGCCACGTCTGATGCAGGAAAAATTGTGTTTAGAGGTAAAGTAGCAAAAATAATTTTTCTAGGGGAATTCATATGGCTGTTAAATTCCAGAATTTCTTACCTTAGTTTTAGACTACCAGATCAGTTTCCAAGACGTGTGACTACAGGCAGAAGAGTGTTGTCTTTTCTCACAGGCAGAGTCCTAAGACTGTCACATGGGCAGAGCTTCTCTCATAAGCTTTGGTCAGTCTTTCTTCTTGGGGACATAGCAGTTTTTTGACTGTTGTGAACAATAGCAGAGGGCAGTGGATGTCCCCCAGGCCAGACTTAGGTGGAGGCATGCGGAGCGAGGGTAAACCTGCCCAGCTCATCACGAAGTGGGTTGTCAAGTAGAGCTGGTCCATGGGCTCCTCAACCCTGAGAAGCAGCCCTGCTGTGGAATGGGTCAGGCCCCATGGAGGAAGGCTCATCACCTATCAGCCTGGGGTACAAAGCAGCTCCTGGTTGACCCTGGCTGAGTAGCCATGTTCGAGGGGTACCCAGAGTTATGACAGGCCTATTCCTTTGCAGAGTTACTCCCAGAACCTGTGTCTTCTGGCCAAGTGTTTCCTCGACCACAAGACGCTGTACTATGACACAGACCCCTTCCTCTTCTATGTCATG